ATCGCTCAAATCGCGCACCCTCAGGGCTGCCACTGCATGCTCCACAAATTTTGCTTCTAAACATGTTTGCTGGGCTTCTAAATAAACATTTCTTTCCTTTTTTTAATTTTAAAATAAAAAATTGCTATTTTCAGTTTTAGCTAAAGACGTGCAGATGGAAATATTCCCTCCTTCCTCTCCTTCAAGTCTTTTATTTAAAGTCATTATAGTTCAAAATAATGAATAAATTATAATAATCATCTATTATTATTGTCTAATTTTCAAGTTTTCTGTTGTCATAAATTGACTTTATACAATCAAAGAAGAAAAGCCACGACTCTTTAATATGCATCCATTGAATTTGAAAAGTCAGGACTATTCAATATGCACCAACTACGGTCATGCTCATTCATTGCAACCTGTGAAGATTTATTGCAATTCACACAAAGTAATTTACCTAACTCTACAATCCCGATTGATCCACCTTAATGTAAAAATGAAAATGAAAAATATAACCGTTACGAACTTCATACAAGTAATAGAAAGTCAAATATGGTAGTTTGATGTGATGAATAACGGTAGAATTGTTAGCTTCCTTAGGAAAATTTATCGAACCCATTTGACTAATTGGTGAATACAACATTTTGAGTAGTCAACTGTTATTGCACCGAACACTTAAAAGCAACATTCCTTACCAAAAATTTATCTCCCATGTCAAACTTGATTCTCTATTATGTTTATTATTTTGACCCTAAATTCTCTTGGGTTCTACAAGTGAGTTAGAGAAATCACTTGAATTATATTTTCATAGAATCGGCCTAGTTCGCACTTACATATGTGATGTACTATAAAGAATATCCTAAAATACTTGTATTTTTACAATAAATTGTCACCATTAAAAGAAAAACTTATCCTCAACCTCTGTTGTAGATAGCATTTATTTGCATCACAGAAATATAAATGATTATGCTTTTGAGTGCTTCTCATCTAGTTATTCATAACTATTTTTCCTATTGCATGTAGTACATGAAATCTTCAGTCGTCATGTTAGGCTTCATTTATGATAACTCTTTAAGTTTTAAGCTTTAAACTATTTCCCTTGATGCACGGCCTAATCGTTCGCATAACCCCCTTTCGAACAAATCTACTAAGGTATCATATGACTTAATAAAATCTATCGATATTGTTCTATTTGATAGTGACTATCAAATGATGTTACATTTAAGACATATATATCTTGACTTAATTTCACATACAAAATTTGATTTATATATACATAGCTAGCACTAACACTGGATATTGGAATATTTTCTACGAAACATCTTAATCATTTACTCTTTTGTTGTTTTATCTAAAGTAATAAACTCGAATTTCATCATTGAACGAGCTACACTTTTATTTAGAAGATTTCTAAGATAAAACACCACCACCAAGTGTAAAAACATAGCCAATGGTAGATTTATAATTCATTTGTATTTGATATTTAAGCCATGTCTGTCTACCATTATTAAGAGAAAATGAGTTTTTGAATAGTGAATTTTTGGAGAATGTATGTTAAAATGTAAGAAAAAATTTGAATTTACATACAAAATATTTTATTATGAGAATATATGGTTAAAAATGAGTTTTGAAATAATGGTAGACAAATGAGGGCTTAGTCAGCGTCACTATATCTTTCAATCATGTGTGAATATTTTCCATGATGTAATGAATACTCTTTAATTCTTTTCAAGTATCTCATAACTTTTAAGTAATCCAATCGAATATTTTTTATCTGAGTTACTTGTGTATTCGCGTAACTTTATAATCGCGTAAGCTATATTTGGCCATGTGCAATTCATCAAGTGCACTAACTCCTATTATCTAGGAATATTTTGATTGTTGTTCTACATTTCCAATTTTTTTTAATGTAAAATTATATGACTGTCTCTTTAATACCATGGTCTTAAACCTTTCACTCACTTTATCTACATAATGTGTTTGAGACAATATTAGTCCATAAGGTATTTTAGAAATTTTCATTCCCATAATCACATGTGTTTCACTTGTTCCTTTCATATCGAAGTTATTATTGAACATTTTCTTTGTCTTATTGATAACTTTCACATTAGTCCATAATAAGAGCATGTCATCCACATATAAGCACGTATGTTTCGCCAAAATTTCTAGATTTATACATATTTGTCGTGCTCATTTATGGTGAATCCATTCTCAGTCATAACATTATCAAACTTTTCATGACACTGTTTAGGGCTTGCTTCAAATACTTAATTAAGTTTATGAACTTTGTTGTGTTGTGTTGTGTTTTGTTTTTTGTCCTTTTGCGTTGAAGTCATCTGATTGTTTTCCTCATAAACTTCATTGTTTACTTCATCATTCAAAAATACAGCATTTAACGCATTCGCAAGTTATACAAAGCCGCTATTGCAATTAAAACCTGAATAAAATTTCATTGAATTTCATCGAGGACAACAATGAGAAACACCATAGTGTAGCCGGGATATACGCAATTGCTTCAATAGAAATTGCACAGGCAGCTTTGACGAGGATCTGGATTTATTCAATTGCTTTGGCAAATCAACTTACTCTCCTTCATCTGATGCACTTGATTTTTGTAATAAAATTATCATTGAGAATCTAATATCTCTCGGATACAATGCTTCAATGTGCAAATCTCGTTGGGGAAAAAAAATTACTTGTCTATTTTTCTATTGTTTCATAAGTTTAATTGTTAATTAAAATATAATTTTTTCTCCCTTTTTCTTCCATTTTTAACCGAGGAATATGAATGTGTGGATGTGATGATTTGCAATGGACATTGGGCTTGCCTTTGAGCATCCGGATAAAGGAGATGGAGAGATAGATTAGGTGGAATTGGAGATCCAAAGGAAGAGGGAGTAAAGGGTGCTGATGGTTTGATGAAGGTGAGGTACACACTTTGTAAGAGGACGATAATAAAGGCCAAGGAAGAGCAAATGGCTAAGTGAATAAAAGTGAGGGATAGGGCCGACCCTGATATTTTGGAGGCCTTACGCTAATTTCAAATATAGGGCCCCCTATATTCTGAACCCTCTTACAAAGAATTTTAATATAATTATGAAGAATCTAATATAGACAACTAAGTCTCAAAATTTGAAGAGGAAAATATAAAATGTCAAATTTCAATATGTAATACAAATTATAAGTGAAGTTTTGGCTAAGAAAATTACAATGCAATGGCAAATGAGTCTGTTCATTTTTATGATTATTTTCTCACTACAACTATTTTAAACAAAATTGAATATGCATTTGAGTGATTATGTACAAAATTAGATAATATCGACTGTAAGAAATAGTGTAACAAAATAATGAGAATCACGATCAAATACACTTTAATTTTATATTAATTCATAAGAATTTAACATACAAACAAGAAGTATGCATATGGAAGAAAAATTATTAAATTCTAAGCACTTTCAACAAACATATAAAAAAACTATTAGTAATAGAGTACAAAATTAGTAACCCTAAACATGTATGTGTAAAGCATTAATTGTCCCCCATTTTCTTTAAAAAATAATAATTAAATAAATGAGGAGAATAGGTAAAATTTATTTAACACCAATGAACTTCATTGACATCATAACTTGCGAATTAATAAAATTTCAAACAACTTTGGAATGTAAAATACATTGTCCGAAATGATTATTAATAGCCATGAAAATTTATCAAAAGTCCAAATGATTAATTTAAATTATAACTAGAACATTTAATTTGGAACAGTATTGAGCCCATCTCGCCTCAAGTAATCGTATCGCATCACCTAGCTCTTGTCATCTAGAAAATGAGAATGAATAACATGGGATAAACTAGCACTCAGTAAGCAAACCCCATACATATGATGCATGCTTATAATATGCACATGATTTACTTTGAAATAAAAAGAAACGTTTCTCAACATATACCCCCTTTTCTTTCATTTCTTTAAAGAAACTTAACATCGAGATTGTGTGCTCACTTGATGCATCGTCTAACCAATCAGTGTGCAGCGGGCCATATTATTTGGTGCATCGTCTAACAAATCATGTTTTGGCAAATCAACTTACTCTCCTTCATCTGATGCACTCGATTTTTGTAATAAAATTATCACTGAGAATCTAACCTCTCTCAGATATAACGCTTCTATGTGCAAATCTCGTTGGGGAAAAATCTCCCTCTTTTTGTCAAGTTATTCTCTGCGTCGATTTGCAATATAATTGTTCTAGTTATCGTTGAGGACAAAATCCTTGTCTATTTTCTATTGTTTCTCCCATTTTTCTTCCATTTTCAACTGAGGTATATGAACGTGTAGATGTGATGATTTGCAAAGGACATCAAGGCTTGGCTTTGAGCATCTAAATAAAGGAGACAGAGAGATAGATCACGCAGAATTGGAGATCCAAAGAAAGAGGGAGTAAAGGGTGCTGATGGTTTGACGGAGCTGAGGTACACACTTTGTAAAAGGACTATAAGTGACACGACCCGTCTCGATTTAACCTAATTGACTCGACACGTGTAATGCTCAGATAGTAGATGCCAGCTAAATGCCGGACCCGCTACCAAGGCAAACGTGACCTACTTGACCATGACATAAGTCTATAAAAATTTTGACAGAGTTTCCCCTGTAACATGGACAAAACCAACCTGAAAAATCATCAAAATCTCAGATAGATATTTAAACCAAAAGTTTTGGAAACCACCACTTCCTTTAATACCACCACAACTACAACAAAATATAACAACATTCGACTGAGTGCTTCTACAACATCATCATGTCAACATGCAAGCATTACATCAATTACCAACCTTTCTACGAAGTGCATGACACACCAAATATTAGACAAGTACTTAATAAACATGAGTTCCCCAACTATACATTACATACTATGAAACGGTCTCTTTCGCTTCAGCAGGCTTTTCCCAGTGTCTCAAAATCGACGGTCTCCTGATAGGAAAGCATGATAAAAATATATGAGTTTATAACTCGGTGAGTGGATGATTTCTAAATAAGTAAACTTTTTCCATTTATGCATATTTTCTAAAAATTTTAACTTTTGTTAAATCCTTGAGAATTTATGAATCTAGTAATACTTTTAAAAACTAAGCATGATTACATTATAAAATTCTTTATTCTAAATTCTAGATAAATATCTGTGAGATATAACAAATATAAAGAATTTGATATTCATGAAAATCTATGAAATATTGCTGCTGCTCAATAGTATAAGCTGAAAGCTTTATTCTGAAAACTGAATTAACTGACTTCCATAATTTGAAATCTAATAACTGAATAAATACTGAAAAATCACACCATAAAGAGTACCCAATGAATAGCCTTACTCGTGTACAGAGTAATCAAGATGTACAAGGCAAAGCCATTCAAATCTGATAATCTGATAACTGATAATCTGGTCATACGTACGCAGAGCTGCCCCAAAGGCTAATCACTCTAGTACACGGCCCAAAGCCTATGTGTGTACGAGAGTGGGTCTCAAAGACCTCTGATAATCTGGTTATACACTATGGAAATACATTCACAATAGTACAGAGTGGGTAAAATCACCATAACTAGTCATACACTGTGGAAACACATTCACATCAGTGCAAACTGGGGTAAAATCACCTGGGTACTTTCTGTTGATTTTTAGAAATAACTTTAACTATACTGAAACATGTAATAAGAATATAACAAGCTTTCAAAATAATTTAACTGAACTGAATTTAACTTTAAAAGCAATTGATAATAAAATCCATTTTATTCTGAAAATCATGCTATAAAGTCAACTTTATAAAATAAATAACTTTAAAATTTAAAGAAGACTTATTTCTGAAAAATAAGTTTTATCCACTCACAAGGTAGGAGCTACAAGCTAGATTGGCTGATAAACGTTTCCAATTTCCTCGCCACCACCTAAAATACGATATTAATAACCAATTTATCCTCTATCTAATCAAGAAACCTTAATATCTAATGATAGAACTTAAAATTAAATTTTCTGGACACTTGAATAAGTTCTCAAATTTTCCTTTATTAATTGGAGCTAATCACACTTTATAATGCATTGACTAATAACTAATTTATCAACATAACCTTCACTTCCAAACATCACTATGACATCCACATCATTCAAGTGACAAGAAGTTGCTATAATTCAACTAATTAAATTTTTCCTCTTGTTCCATAATTTCATGCTTCCAAATAATTATTTTCTCAACATCATCATTTCCATAAACATACTTAATCCCAAAAATCCCAAATAAAATTTCTAGAGTTTGCTAAAATAATATCCCTTACCTAGCTGAATTGGAAATGAAGAAATCCCCAAACTAGAGCTCCAATTCGTACAAATATCACCTAAAATTCGACATTTTATTCGACAAGTTAAAACCCTAAAAATTTAATATAAATCATACTTAATCACTCGAAAACAAAGTGGAAAAATTAAACCCAACTTGAAGAGATTAACCTCACCTCTTTTCTTCTTCTTTTTCCTTTCTTCTTTTCCTTTCTTCTTCTTCACTGCCGGTCTCTGCTTCTCTTGTTACTCTATGTGTGTGTTTTGGTGTGAAATTGAGAGAGAATGGGTCAAATGGTTGAATTAAATGGTCCACTAACCCATAATTGCAAACTAAGTCCTTCAACTCTCTTTTTAATATCACATTTAATCCTAACACTTCCAAAATTATATAAGTAAGTTTCCAACTTAAAAATGTATCCAATTTAACCTTCAAAATATATTTATAATTTATAAGATAAACCCAAATAAAATAATTTGGTCAATTGAGTTCCAATAAAAATGATTTATTTCATACAAGTCCTCATTTGACTTGACTTTGAAAATTTCACTATTGACTTTGACCAGATAAAAATGTGGGTTGTAACAATAAGTGAATCATAGTGAGGGTCTGAGGGAGATGGGGAAAGGGCTCTTGTAGGGATTTTGATCTAGGATGTACTTGTTGTACACTATCGCTGTGAATGACAAGAAGATCGAGGCTACTACATAAGTTCATGAGAGGGCGATTTTATTTATTTATTTTTATTTACTTTTTTCACCACCTCATCGAGTGCTCTACCTTTCCCCATTGGTGGTGGCAGCGACAATGCAATGACGATGGTGGTGGAGGATGGAGTTACAAAAAATTGAGGTAAAGACAAGATGGGTGTTTAAAAAAGGAGATGGTGGCGATGTGATGGTTATGGTGGTTGTCTAGTAGAGTTGGTGGAGGGAGGAAGAGGGTTTGGTTGTCGTAGGCGAAGATGTTTTTGAATTATTTTTTTTTCATTTAGATTTTGTTTTTTATTAAAACTAGTCTTTACCCGTGCAATGCACGGGCTGAGTTATTTTGAAAGTAATGTTAGTGTATTAAATATATTGAACTTTCGTGAATTATATCATCAACTCAACTTTCGTTATAGTTACATTGGAATGAACTTTCCCTTATTGCATAGATTTATCAAGTTATATCATTTTAGACAATCAAGTTCTGTGACAAAACTTCAGGATTATGCATGTTATTAATGTTATGAGAGTCTGGTTAACTTACAAAAATCAGGTTATAGATTAACAAATATTTCCAAAGAATTCAATGGAACAAAAATTTCACCATTGAACCACTATTGTTTAAACCATGGCATTCAATACATAAAACTACAACTTGCTTGTTTATTATTAAAGAAATAATTGTGCATGGCAATGTAGTTACACTTGGGAATATGGCTCGTCTATCTTCAAGACATTCTCCAATTTCATTATTTATGACCAAAATAAGCTTTAAAATGTTTATTTGCCTTTAACTTAATTATAACAATTGCATAAATGAAGTGGTAAAAAAATTACATGATTTGAGGAAACAAAAGGAACTTAAAAAATCTGTAAAGAAAAGAATTAAATTTCAAAAGAGAAGTATAAAGTTTCATTAAATTAAGACAGGAGCACTATATATATATACACTTTACAAACATATGAATATAATTAGAACTTTCAAACATAGTGCATCACAACAAAATAAGGAAGTATTTTCTAAAGGAACAAAGCATTTGAGCCATAATCTTAATAAAAGTTAAGAATGAAAGTACTTTATATTGCCAACCATCAACAACAAAGACATCAAGAGAATAGCCATTGATAGTGAAAAAGCTATGTGCTTCCTGAATGGTCAACCCAACTTTAGCTAGTTAAGAAGTCAGCTGCAAGGTTCAGTTAAATAGTTTAGTTCAAGGCCAAAACTCGCTCTCCAACCTATATTGACAAACAAAATATCTATGAGTCAAATTTTCTTTTTCATTTTTGTTTGAATTCACATGACATTTGAAATTCTTTTTGTTACACTTCTCTATTTTATATTTCAAATTCCAAATTTTTGACTGCTACTTAGTATCGGCAATAAGTCTGAAAAAGCATCTTAAAATACCCTTCATTTTTTATTCAATTTTTTAATAATTGATAATGTCCCTTTGAAATCAAAGAATATTGAAAAATTACCTTCCTAAGAATAGCTAGGATTTCTAGAAGAAGATGCCATTCGTTTGATGAGAAATAAAAAGGAATATCGAAAATTCGAGGGGCTGAAGCTAAAGTAGCTACTTTCGAAGTATAGAAATGACTATAACAGAGTTTTTAAACGTGGCTAAATTGTCCTAGTTACTCTTCGGGATAGAGTGGAAGAAGGGAGGGGATTCTCGAACGCGGAAAAGGATCCAATGAATTTGAAATCCCCTCACAACCCAAGGTCGTGTATTAACAATTGCTTAGGTTTACAATGCCATATATTCCTAAAAGAAGTGACATTTACTAAAACAATTATGCTTATATTTGAGAACCAGAACATGGATTTACCATGCCATTTGTCACGTTTTACTATTCTTGAAAATTTACAAACAAATTATATTTTAAAACTTTTTTACTATAATATGATATGAAATGGACCATTATGTTCACTATCTATTATAAAGAGGATACTTAGTCAAAATAGTTTTTCTATATTCCCACCACAATTAACCTCAGAAAAATTAAAACTATTACATTCATCAAGCAATTACCTCATATTTGTTTTTATGTATGATCATTCCATGCTTCGGGTCACTTATACAACCTCTATTTTCTATGCCTATCTCACTATTTCATAGATTATTTGTGTATTTCTCTCCTGCACAGGTTTTGAACTTCATTCTTCTGGGCATATAACTTTCACTGCCTCTAATTCTAAAGTTCATTTTTCGTTAATGCTATCAATCATGAATTTGAGCATAAGATTCAGCGGTGTCCATTTAGAAAAAGAGGAAATAATTACATGAAAGAAATAGAAAAATTATAGTTTGTACATTAGTAACAAAAAATAAGCATAAAAAGAATAGTGTGACTAAATTGATCGAACATAAAGGAATATCAACAATAAGAAATTTAAATATAAGCTATTCAAAAGAAAACTTTACCCAAATTATGTGTAAGCAAAAAACATTTTCAGATTTTTTTTTTTTTTGGTATCAATAAATGAGTTTATCCAACGAAAATCATACCATTGAATTAGATGATAGAAGCTACCAGATGCCGTTCAAGAGACACACAAAAACTATATGAATTAGTTCACATATAGACATCGAATTTAAGAAACATCTGACCTGAGGTAGAACTCCAGTATAATTTTCAATAAACAACAATTTCCAATGTATTTCATGACAAATTGCAATATAAAATAACTTCATAAACATATGAAAATATAGACGCAAACAAGATATCTATTTCTACAAGTTTCATGTATTATAATCCAAAAATTCACACTATTTTGGTCAAAATAATCATTATGATAAAATCAGATAATTTAATATTCAAACATTTAAAATTGTTTTAGAAGTACTTTGATATAGATAATATTATTTCAAGAAACACCAATTTAACAGCCTATGACATAAGTATGATTATTTATTTATTTATTTTTGCCAGAGACTATTCAAGCATGATATCTAGTGGAAATTTCTCCTAATCAATTATAAAAGTAGCTTTCTGGATGTGAAGAGAAAAGAAGCAAATCCATCCCAAACCAACCTCGTCTATAGAGCATCACTATGGGCATGGACAAATAATTTAAGATAATAATTCATGTGTGAGAGCACAGAAGCAAGCACCTTAATAACTTAATGATATATTTGATCTTCATATTCGAACTCAATGAACTGGTCATCAAATATAATTAGATGCTTTGCTAGCATACCTCTAAATCCTTATGGTCAACTGTGTGAATAATGCCTTCACATGGTCTTATTAAATATCCAGTTGATAGCAATTTTGCTTTCACAAAATCTTGCACTGGTGGCATGCTAGGACCATGTTGAGTGTTGTTCACTGATCTTAAACATATCTGTATGAAGAAATATATATCATATATTGATAATGCATCAATAAAAAAAAATTAGTGATTTTCGCTCTACTTTTTGTTGTGCTTAAATAGTTATTAAATGCTTTCCACAAGACTACCATCTTCCATAATAGACGTATAGTGAAGTAACTAGAGTCACAAGCTAGTGTCAAAGTAGTAGGAGTATAGAGCTGAATGAATTTATGAAATAACACTTAGTTAAAAGGTTGAGCAGATAGTGGACAACATTTGAGTACTACAAAAAGATAAAATTTAACCTCAATGTATAGCAATTCATCTTTCACCATTTCCAGCAGACAATACATTGAGGACATCAAACAGCTCGATAATCACAATACCATCAGCACCGATCTTTTAGAATTTTAGCAACCTAGAACAGGGATCATATGTTAGTATTATTGTGATACTGTGATTTCAATATAACAGAAACAAAAACAGTAAAAGAATTATAGAACTTGTATAACTTTTCCATGTGACATTACATAGAGAAAGACTTACGAATAATTATGGAAGTTAAGCATCAATGATGAGTACGCAACCAAATGATATAGAAAATAATATTAGAGAATCGTGAAAATATCGTTCAACTAATATTATGAAAAACTTATTCTTGTTGGTTCTAGAGCCACAAGGAAGCACGGACATGATGCTACGCCAGTGCAACAATGAAAAATAGTGATGATTGGTATCGAATCCAAACCAGGCTGTACATAAAAAAACTAACAAGTTGAGGATGGTCGAATACATGATTAAAATCACAAAGAAAACCTCCAAATTTCAGGCTAGTAGATATTATCTTAAACGATAAACAACACTCTCTGCAAATGGAATAAAGGATAAACTGGAAAAGAAAGAGATAAAAGAAATGCTCAGATATTGGAAAGACACCTGAAAATCATTTACAATTAGAATGGAGCAAAGAACGTATGAAAAACTTTCATTTTTTCCCTTTTCCATCTTCCTGGATGAATAAGAATTGAATTCTAAATGCAAGAAAAAATTGTAATGATGCATACTTTCATCTAATGAAGGGTATAAACCTACAACTTTAATATACATAAGAATAAACGAAGCCCTTTTCTCGATTTGACAAAATTTTTCTTGCCTTTTTAATTTATTCAAAAAAATAGATATAGTGGACGTTATGACTTTAGAAAATTGAAGCCAAAGAATTTCATAACTTTCATCCCAGGTATTTGAATCCACTCCACAGCATATCCAACGGCCTTTGATAGAAATTCTATTAAGGTCTCTTCTGCAATGGACGAAAGTCCGAAAATATACAATAACGGTATGTTAATTATAGAACAATATAGTAATAGAAGTAAAGAAAAAGAAGCATTTTTCACTAACCTTGCTGGACTTGCATCCTTGGGGAAGATGCTGA